ATTGTCAAAATGCATTCTTTCGGTCACTAGATGTGGTAGAATCTCACTTATACCACTTTGGAATCTCTGTAAGTTATGAGAGATGGATTTTTCATGGAGAGGAACTTGAGAATAATATAGAGGGTGTTGAAAGAAATACATTTGAATTGGACGAAGAAGAAAATGTTGATGAGATGAATGATATGTTAGACGATCTATGCGCTCCCATGTCATCTAAAGCTAACCAAACTTGGGAGGAGGAAGAACATGGTGGAAATCATAATTTTTCGCCTCGAAGGCCTAATAAAGAGAGTAACCAATTTGTGGAGATGATAACTAAAGCCCAACGAACTTTGTTTCCTGGCTCAGAAATGTCATTATTGAACTTTATGGTGAAGTTAATGCATATAAAAGTTTTGAATCGGTGGAGTAACAAATCTTTTAACATGTTATTGGAATTACTAAAAAACGTTTTTCCAGAAGATATTGGATTACCAACTTCAACATAAGATGCCAAGAAAATGCTAAGTGAATTGGGATTGGGTTATGAAACTATTCATACATGCAAGCATGATTGTGTATTATTTGGAAAGAGCGTGAATTTGCCAGTAGGTGCCCGGAATGTGATGAACCACGATACAAACCTAATTTTGGAAAGGGAAAGAAGGTGCCTCAAAAAGTATTGAGATATTTTCCATTGAAAAAAAGATTACAGAGATTATTCATATCTAGACATACCGCTAAAGATATGAGATGGCATGCAGAAGGCCGAGTTGAAGTAGAAGGTGTTTTAAGACATCCCGCTGATGGTGAGGCATGGAAAGAATTTGACAAGTTATACCCAGAATTTATGCAAGATCCTCGCAATGTTAGGTTAGGTCTTGCAACAGATGGCTTCAATCCATTTGGAAACATGCATAATTCCTACAGCATGTGGCCTGTTGTTCTAGTACAATACAATATGCCGCCGTGGAAGTGCATGAAAGAACCGTTTATTATGATGTCATTGCTAATTCCAGGACCACATGCACCAGGAAGAGATATTGATGTTTATTTGAGACCACTAGTAGATGAGTTGAAAGAATTATTTGAGACCACTGGTCGAGATGATTGTCGTACAACACAAAATAGTGGAGTAATGGTGCCGGGAGATGATAACATCAACTTTTTTAGTATATTGTGTGATGTTATTGAGTTGGTATACGTTTTTGACTAACGCGTCACTTTGTTCCAGTGTAGTTGGCACGATAATAATCCAAAGCAAAAAAGAACAATCATAGATTACCATCTTACTTCTATCAATGTGAATCGTAAATGGTACATGGATGATTCCTATATACTTGGCATCCAAGCACAACAAGTATTTTATATGGATGATCTTTTGTTGGGCCCACAGTGGAAGGTAGTGGAAAAGGTACAACATAGAGGCATATGGGACATTCCAGAAAAAAATGATGGCAGTAGTGAGCAAGTAATATTTTAGGAAAATGAATCATCAAATATTGTCTTGCCAATACAGCAGGAAGATCTTGGCACTCAAGTATGCCATAGAGGAGATGTTGATCTAGATATTATTGAAAATGAAGCATTACAAATAGATGTGGAACACAATAAATAAAAATATGAATAATGTTATATATGATACTTCGGAAGAGGAAGATGATACATTGAATGAATATTACAGTGAAGATGAGAAATCTATAGATGGTAAAGATGATGATGGTGATAGTGATATTGGTAAGTAAAACATTCTTTATATATATATATATATATATATATATATATATAGGCCTTTTTTTTTGGCGTAATGTTTTTCTTTTCTTTTTCTTAATGACTATCTACATTTTTTCCTTCCCTCTGTAGATTCGAGTACTGACGATGCATCATCTGAGAGTTGAAAATAATTTTATTCACATTTAAGGTTAGAGTAGTCAGCTACTGAAATATATTGATCACTTATTGTGATGGTTGTTGATCTTGTTCTAATATTCAATGTAAGATATTTGAAATATTTTCTTGAAGCTAATATTTCATTAATTACTTTCTATATGTACCTGTTAGACTAAATTTGCAGAGCTTTTCTTTACAGGAATTTTCATTTAACCAAAGAGAGTTGGAAGCGTATATTGAGTCAAGAATGTTATTTGGGTGTCACGTGAGTTTTTTAGTTATTTCTTCCACATTCCTAGTTCTATTTTTTAATTTTCAAGTTTGTCGAATCATTCAAAGTAGCTCGACCTTCAAATTACTAGTACTATAGTTTATTTGTATTTGTTTTGATTTTGGAGGTAACCAAGTTTGTAGATAATACCTTTATCTATATTTATTTGGTTGATAGTGATATGATTTTTTTTTATATCAATTATATTTTAATAATTGTATGTTGAAGCGTGCTCTTCATAAAGTCACTAGTTATTTCTAGTTATGTTACATTTTCATATAAATGTGCACAACAATAATGATTCCATTGTGATGAAAGAAATCGAAAATTGTGTGTTTAAAATAGAATGTCCGACATACATAAATAAAAATAGAATCAATTAGGCGACATTTGTACATCGTTGAAGCGACAAACCCTTTGTGTTGCTGACTAAATTTAACTACGAGCACAACTTGACATATAAATAAAAGTTCATTATCACAAGATACTTTGCGTAATAATATTATATGTTGTTAAATAAAATATGTGACATATATAAATAATTACGAAATAAGTTTGGCAACAATTATACTCATTGTACAAATGATGGTGCAACAGACCATTCGTGTTGCAAAATATATTTAAATACATAAATCACTTGTTACATAAAATTTTGTACTACAAATATTGAATATATTAAAATACATTTTGCGACACATCAAATACATTGTAAAACATATTTCACGACAAATATTACTTGTTATTGAAAATATATTACTGCGTGCATGTGGTGTTGCAAAACAAAATAGGTAGCAAAAGTGACACATTTAAAAGAATATTTGCAACAAATATTTTTCTCGTAAAAACATTATTGGAATAATCGTCGCAATGAACTATCATGTTGCCCTTTTATTTTTTCGCGACATATACACATTGCGATAATATTATAATTATAACTATCGTGTTGCTGTTTCATATTTTCTGCGGCAAATAAGTAATGTTGCGATTTTGTTAATGCGATGAATGATCAAAAGTTGTCTCAAAATATATTCGGTGACTAAACATTCGCAACAAACATAATTCTCGTAAAAACTTTATTGGAATATTTGTTGCGACAAACTAACTTGTCACCCTTGAAATTTCTTGCGACATATATACATTGTGACGACAATATGGCTACAAATATTGTGTCGCCATTTCGTATTTTCTGCGTTACACAAATAGTGTAGTGATTTTGTTAATGCGATGAACTATCGAAAGGTGTCGCAGAACACATTGCGTGACTCATATAGAGCGACAAAACCTACAACAAACGTATTATCGTCGCTAAATTACTTTTGCGACAAAATCTCATTTTTTGCGAGAATAATATCATTGAATCTGCCCAAGTTAATAAGGCTTTTTTAGTATCTATTTTGCAATTTAAATATAATTTCGTTCCTTCATGATTAATTGGTTTATCATAATTATTATTTAATTCAAACCTATCTTTATATTTATTTCCTTTAGGTGGTTGTCTATCTCTTACTTTATCATAGAATTGTCTATATGATTTATTATATATAGGTGCATAACTTTCATCCGTATCATGTAATTCCCGTTTAGAAGTTCCTGTTGGATTAGGTTCTCCTTCAATATTCATTAAAACTTGGTATTCACTTATATCAATTAGGCTTAATTGATCAAAATTTTCTATTAGCAAATCTAATTCTTCACTCATCTTCTTTTTCTTATACTTTTAATTTTTCTAATGATTTTTCTTTAGATTTTTCTTCTTCTTCTAATATTTTTGGTAATATATTATTTCTAAATTCATCATCCGCACTTTCTATTTCTATTACTATATTTTCTTTTTCTATATGTTTATTTCTTATTCGAGTCATCTCTTTTTCTATAAATTTTTTAATCTATTTTCTTATTTTTGTTTTTATTATTTTCTTTCAATTCTCTAATTTCAATTTTTAATATATTTATATCGTTTCTTGTTTCTTTTACTTCATTTCTCAAATCTCGTACATCATTTATTAACATTTTTAATAATGACTTTAATTATTCCATATATTCACTTATTGACATCTTAATTTTTTCTTATTTCTAGATCATAAGTTAATTTGCATCTTTTATCTTTTTTTTTTATCTATTATTTTTCTAAATTTTCTCTCAGCTGTTTCTGGATCTACTAATTCTTCTTTTACTATAATAAAATATCTGCTCTCAAGTCTTAATATTTCGCATTTTAATTTTAATAATTGTCTATTATTTGATATTCTTATTTCTTCTGGTATTAATATTATATTTCGTATTTCTTCTTGTATTTTATCCATTTTTATAAGTAGTTTATTTAATTTTAAATGTGTATTATTACTTGTACTCATACTTTTCTTTATAAATTAAATTATTTTCTTCATCTTCATATATATGAATATTTTTTTCATATGTATATATATCTTTTATTTTTTATATTATTAATTTTTCTAATATTTGTTCCTTCATTTCTTTAGGAAGTTTTTTAATTATTGTTAAAGTCATTATTTTTAATCTATTATGAATATGTTTTAAAAATATATAACTAACTCTTTCTTCTTCTAAAAATCAATAATTATCTATTTTTCTTATTTTTATTTACATAATCTCTATGACTCTGATACCAAATAAAAGGGGGCTACTTAGAGCGAACAAAAATCAAATAAATCAAATTTAGTAATCAATCAAAATTCAAGCAGTATTTAATTTTTTTAAGGATTAAATTGAAAGGTTGCTAATTTTCATTAACTTATCATGTAATATTATAAAAGAGGATATTTTGGATATCAAAATTAGCTGGAGGCTATTTTGGGAAAATGACCTTCCTGGGCCATTTATTTCCCACATTTGGCGCCCAACAAGCAAATTCCCTCTCACACTGTGTTAATGGAAACCCTCTCAAAACCCCACATTCCCCCCTTCTCTCCAAACCCCCATCATTTCATGACCCCGCCACTCGCCGCCAAATTTCCTCTGCCGCTGCTCCGCATCGCATCCGCAACCTTCCGACGTTTCGCCGCCGCTCAAATCCACCTCCCAGAAACTACACTTCCCGAACCCTCAACCTCAAATTCGACACCCAAAGTACCTACCAGGGCTAGTAAAATTATAGATGCCCAGCAACTTAAATTAAACTGGCTTGACTCCCTCTCTTGCCCTTTTTTGGACGAGAATGAAAATAAATGCTTGGAAAGCTCTGATTTTAGCAATGTTGGATCCGAACCATCCGGTTGGGTCATGGGTATTGACCCGGATATTTCTGGAGCCTTGGCCCTGCTAAAACCTAATGATTCTCCTCAGGTATTGGTTGTTAATTTCATGGGCTATTAATTGATCAAATATGGCACTATTGGCGACGTTTTTGCTGTATAGTGACTAAAAGAATTTGCATTGATTAAGAATTTTGTTCGTGTAATGCAATATTAGACAATCTCGTGTTAGATTTTTTATTTTTTGCACGAATTGGAGGACATAAATATTGGCCCATGTCATTTATAGGTTCATCAACAAGGATGATTACAGAGTTGTATCTTGCATGGCATTTTTTTCTTGCTGACAAGGTTTGATTTTGGCTAAGAAACTGCAATGTACTGTGAGTAAGATTTCAATTATAACTTCTGATAATCATTGTTGGTGAAAAGACGGTCTATGCTTAGAAGAAATAAAAATATGAGTTGATACAAAGTGTACACACTTAGAAAAACTATTGGGAAGGGACCATAGATTTCCAAATGCAAGACTTGAAAAGGAATGAAGAGTGAACTGGAATTGAAAAGAAAGGAAAGGGTTGCATGAGCACGCCAGATCAATCAAGTTTTAAACCTTCTAGCAAATTGATCATGTAAATAGGATCCTCTGCCTACCGTTTGTTAAAGAAGGTGATGCACCTGCAGAGAGAGAGAGAGAGGGGAAATCGGTGCATCATGAATACTGGAAAGAGTATGAATGAGATAAGTCAGCGAAACAAACAAGTATTTTCCATGCAAGGATCCTCCAAAAAATGAACATTAGAACCATTGTCTATCTTCAGGCATTACAGAGGAAGATATGGAGATTGGAGAACTCAATTGAGAAATGAACTTCTACGGGCTAGTTTAAGCAGCATTAGAGGTGATTCCAGCACTCCATCCACTTGGTTGTAGAGCCTATCTACTTCTTAAGAGTCTTTAAGCTTGTTTGGCACTGATTTTTCAAGTGAAAAATGATTTTTTTTGGAGAATGTGTAATTGACAGGTGGGGAGAAGTTGTGGGTCCATAGAATGTGTGGTTGAAAATGATTTTGAAAAAGAACGATTTTAGAAAATTATGTGCCAAACAAGCCTCTAATCTAGTCCAGTTTGTCTATTTTTATTCATTTTGCCCACTGACGGTTTCAGTTAAGGGAATTTATCGTCAAAGAACATGTTCTTGGTGAGAAAGTGTTTGTCGGTCTTTTAATTGGAATCTAATCCCCTTGGCTCATAAATTCTTATATAACTATGGCATTTTGGTTTGTACAACGTGCATTGAGAGTTGGAAGTTTCTCAGTTCCTTCCAAGACTCAACCTTTGTTTTTGGAAGTTTTGGACTGTTGGGCCATTAAAATACATTATTGAAGAGGTAGGATTAATAATGTTGAATGAGGATTTACGAATCACACGATGTTCTTTGACAGTTGTGCATTTTTATCCTTCTGGTTGGAGAAGGGTTTTATTATCCAAGTTTATATATAGATGGAACAATATCATACAGTGTAACAGACCATGACTTTCTCTGTAGTGTGCTGAACACATCCTTTTGGCATTTATCTTTTCTTTCCTCCAATAGCCAACTTATATGCTTATTTTCAGTTTGATCCATCAGATATCAACATGGTATTTTTCAAATTTTAAACGATAGATTGCCGAGTCCTATCCTTTAATGAACGTTAATGCTAGAATACTAATAATCATTTATGGAAAAGGTTGAGTAAAGTCAGGGTAATATAAATGTGACCAAGCAATCCGCTTCATATAAATTTAAAAGTTGTGTTTCCTTTATCTATTCCAAGTTTATGTACATAATCTAGTGGCCCGAGCATTTAATATAAATTCAGTAAAGGTATATATTTTTGTTGATGCCGATTTATATCGCATTAATGTCTTTTCATGAATCTTATAGGTATTTGACTCTCCTCATTTGAAAGTACTGATTGGCAAAGGAGTGCGGAAGCGATTGGATGCAAAGTCAATTGTTCAGTTGATTCAAAGTTTTAATGCTCCTATTGGTATATTATAATTCCACCAGTTTTCAAAGACCTCCTATTCTCTCTTCTTGTGCAACATTGTTTAAGTAATTACTAATTACTGTGGTCGTTGGTTTGACCTCCCAAAAGAGAATGTAATTTGTGGGTTTTGCACTTGAAAATGGATATTCTTTCCAGGTCTCTTTCATACCATGCACGAATGAATTACGTGGTGCATATCTGCTTCTGTGCCCTTTCACCGGTGTTGCACAGGAGTCTGGTGAATCTCAGAAAAGAGAGCCAAAAAAGGGGAAAAATTTATCCACATGGGATATAATATTAGACAAGATGTGCTCTCTCTCTCTCTCTCTCTCTCTCTCATATTCTTTTGACTATAGATGTTCGATCATTGACAATCACAATATCGAAATCATGAATCATGCTACATGTACTCCTTTGACATCCATGTGAGTTGGCAGAATTCTATACAATGATTTTAGCACCACTTTTTTCAAACAATGACCAGATTTTTGAATCATAGACGAGTGTCAAAAAGGCTTAATTCCGAAATCATTTGCCCATTCAAAGTTGCTAAACTTCTTTTAAAGCTGCTTGATACAATTCTTTGTTTAAAAACTTAATCAAAGTTTTGGTACTACAGAATGAATAGTGACTATTGACATTACACTTGCAAGTTGTTGTTTGCATATAAAACTTACTGCAGTTAAATACCTAGTAAGCCGGTGATTTGGTACAGATGTAAAAGTAGTACACCTTTGGTAGAATGACAGAACGAGCGGAATTTATTCTTTTTTGTTGGTTGGGGTTGCAAAAGGTGATTTACTTCCAATTATCCAATTTTTTGTTTGCTTGTCATGACTAGTTGTGTTCTTGTGTGAATTATATATTAGTATGCTCTTTGATTGGACCTTCATCTTAAGCTGAAAGATAATTTGACTGTGTTTGGGTTTGTTACTTTCAGGAACCACTGCATATATTGAGCAATCACGTCCATATCCACAAGATGGTAAGCAGGTTAGAAATCTGTCAGAGAAAGGAATGTAGTTCTTTCCTCAGAAATTGTTGCTACTGTTACCGTTTCCATGTTATTAGGGTTTTTCTTTTGGTGCACTTCTTAGTTCTTTTGTTATGGTTATTACCATAGCAGTGCTGATATTAACTCAAAATCTTTGTTATTATGCATGATGTGTCCTTTCGGTCGATAAATCTTACCTTTCATCTGGTAAAATTTTGTGTCTTGGATGGAAACGTCAAATTTAAACGTGAAAAAATGTACGTAGCACATTAATTTCATATTGATTTCACCATTTTGTTTGTCATCTTATGTTTGGAGCATTTCTAAGATTTGTACCCATTGTGTTTGTCTCTTAGCATTTTGTAATTGAGCTCAAATTCATAATAGCTAAAGATTCTTATTATGCAGAGATGGTTCATTTAAGATTGTGCTTTATTTGATTCTCTTATGTTAGTAATAGTGTCATTAAGAGTAACCACTGTTCTATTACAGAAAATCTATATTATCATGTTCCCCGTGTGTAGAAATTAGTGTTAAATTGAATTCTGTCACAGAGCACTACCTTCTTCCCATATCTGCTGGTGTCATCCATCTCTTACCTTCCTTGTGTCTATTGTAATTGAATGATTGCTATCAATCTCAATCTCTTGTATTTGTTTTCCCAACTCAGGAAACTTCTCCACTATTATACCTTTTTACTATGTGCAACTGTCTCTTAACAGCTTCATCTTCTTTGTAATATTACAGACATCTCAAGTCAACCCTCTCCAGATTTAAAGCATCTTCTTATTATAAAAGGCTGTCTTTTTTACCGACATCCACTGCATTCAGTTGGCCATTTACACGGTTGCTCTTGGCAATCTCTCACCCATAACCTTCATACCATATTCACTACTACAGAATATTGCTAAAACTATCTCTGCTAGCCTTGTTTTTGTTCTTTCTGATGATCCACGACAGAGTTGAACTAGAACTTGATAAGGCTGCAGAGGCTTTATGTCTCTGAATTGTAACCCGCCACTTTGAATTATCGGCCTCATTCCTTTTAACCACATGGCCTTTAGATTCTATTTGCTATAAGATATTTAGCCTGCCAATTTTCTCAGTTAACTTCTATCTCATTAATCACCATATCTTCTGACTTGGTCTTCTCGTTTGAATGTATATTATCTAAACTGTTTATCATAAGGAAGACGTGTCCACGTCCAGTTTTCTTCAGAAACAATAGTAAGGAGCATAGGGTTATGTGTCAGAATGATAATGGATCTGATTTCGACAATTTTTGCTATATTCCGATCTTAATTTTCATTTTCCTATCTCCTTTTTTAATGTTGCTTCTTTTGTTATGACATACGTAGTCTCACTGATTTTTGTTCCATCTATTGGTTGATTGTCTTATTGATCTGAAACTCATTCTCTGTTTTTGTTTTTGTTTTTTTTTTTTTTGGTTTTTTTTTATTGGTGAAATTCATTCTTTGTTGCATTTAGGGATGGTGGAGTGGGGGATTTGGATATGGACTATGGATTGGAATTTTAGTTGCCTCAGGCTTTTCCGTTGTTCCGGTCCCCTCATTGTTGTGGAAGAATGAGTTTAAACTTGCTGGGAATCGCTCAAGCAAGGTTTGTGTGATGTTTCACAGGATAGAATAAGCTTGTATGGTTATTAATTTTTAGCTGCTTCTGTTCTATGCTGCATTGACAATGCCACCTTTATTGCATCTTATGGTACATATTGATAACCGTGTATACTTTAAAATCACTATATGAGTAACACACCAGTAATCCATGAGAAAATATGACTATCTTTACTTTTTGTGACAGGATGATAGTAGAGAGCTTGCTTCCATTCTATTTCCCTCTTTGAGTTCCCTGTTGAAAAGGAAGAAAGATCATGGTAAGTATACTCTATTACCATGTGGACTTTTTGCCTCGAGGAGTATGAAATCCCTAGATGAGATTGCCTTTCTGTTACAGTTATGGGATTTGGAGTTGAATGACTATGTCAACTTGCTCGAGGGAGTTCACTGTAAAAACCTTTCGTGTTCCAAATGAAAAATAGGTTCTGAACAGGAGACTGTCATCTGTTGCATGCCACAAACGACGGCCTTAGACTAAATGACTCTTTTTTTTTATTTTTCTATTAATATTAGGCATATTGAACTGGGGAATAGCATTCTACTGTCCATGTCTGATCTTTATGGCTTGTTTGGAAAGTTATACTGTACAGGGGGAAAAAACCTTAAATCTTTATCATATATGCCCTTGATGTTTTTAAGTCTGTTAGCTATTGGCAGGATAAGTCTTTCAAGGGACAAGTTGGTCTTCTTTGACACCAATCTGAAGCAATATTCCTGTGTCAGTTTTAAATTATTTGCTAAATGGATTTGAAAGATACGTAACATATTATCTTACTTTGTCTCTGTTTTCTTTCATTGAAGATTTTCTCTAGGGAGGCAATTTGCAGACTTGCATATATTGTGTTTTGTCGATTCTGATTGTAGATTGTTATCACATGCCAAAGATTTGGAATTTTTGCACTGATCTATATTCCCGAGTATTTTCTTCCTTGACGTTGTGGAATCTAGAAAAAGCACTTGCAACACCATTTCTACATATTTTTATGTTACCTCAAGCCCACTTAGGGAATATGAGTATATTATAAATCTTTTCCTCAGTTTTTTCTTGGTCTTCATACTACCATTTAAGTTTCACATTTAATTTTCTTGAATATTTAATCATTTGAAATTCTCCCCTATCCATTCTAAAGCTTATAGATGAAGTAATCAGGCCTTCAGTTCAAGGATCAGGACTCTCTTTTATGATAATTCTATGTGCTTGGCCCATTTAGAGCTAGGGAAAAAAAAAATTCAATTTTCGTGTAAGATGGTGCCGTAGAATAAATGAGCACTTTCTTTACCTTAAGAAACTTTAAGGTGAGGTGGTGACAGGACACTCATTTCCCTTCTCACCCTGCAACACGTGCACAAAGTGATTGAGAGAGTTGGTGGTGGCTGTGATGACAAATATGAGATCCTATATCAACGGATTATTTATCTTCTTTTTTCTCACCATATCCCGTCTTATGTTATAATGCTCTGGGTTTTGGAATTTCGCAGGTCGTGCTGAGGCTCTGCTAATTGCTGCCTATGGCAAAGGGCTGAAGACAAACCTTAATTCCTCGTGCACTTTGAAAGATTTGACGCCATAGGAACAGAACATTGCAGTCTACATTTTATTTGCTAAAGTCTAAGTCACTCAGGATAATTAAAGGGGGAATCAAATTTGTTACTTGCTATCATTAGATGGAAGGAGGATATTTGTTCAGAAAAGAGGCAGTTAAAAGGTTTTGCTGATCGGTAACTTCTGCTATTTTTTCCTGTTGGTGTCAGTACCATTAATTTTTTATTTTTTTTTTGGTGATTAAGATCTATTTTAGCCTCCTGAAAATCGAACCATAATCACCTCTCAACAATATTGTTGTAATGTAGATTAGAAGATTGTGAATACTTTCTGTTTCACCAATCACCATTAGGTGAAATCTAACATGTAAGATTGGAATTGTAGCTCCAAAGTACTGTTTGTTTAATCAATTCTCCATTAGCAATCAAACCTGGTTAATTTATGACTTCCAAGTTCTTCTATGCTTCCCATCGCAATCCCATGTTTGACCAAACTGAAAAATATGTGCTTGTAAAGGAACATTTTTATTCCAAACATGTGTATTCAGAAACAGATTTTTCTTTGAATCTGGAACGTGTGTAATCTTGACTACGCTTGTTTCATTTTTGTATCGTGCAGTCTCGTGCAGCTGTTAAATATGATGCCTCTCTTTGTTTTTGGTATCCTTCCTTTTAAAGTCCCGGCCAGTTCGAAAAATGCTGCAAGTATATTCTTTGGTGAGTTCTACCAATAATGCGGGGGTATAAGTCCTTGGTAATACAGTATTCTAGCTCCCACAGCCTGTGTCTTGGGCATCAATTCGGGCTTGACTTGGGGTATTACCGAAGACATCCAACCTCCGTTACTGGTTCATACGTCATTTTTTCTTACTAAATAAGAAGCAATTGCAGAGCATATTTATGATAATTGAAATCTTTTTCTTACTACTATTCTCAAGACTGTCATCGTCCTTTAGAAATTAAGGAAGAACTAAGATAACTTTAGAAACTCATAGGGATTAGAAATAGAGACTTTTTATTTAATAATAGAGTTGGCTTCGAAAGTGAAGGGGGGAGCTCCTTGTATAGAGGAGAAGATCCACCACTTATTACACCATCTTAATAATACAATCGAAACAAGGATAATAATACAAACAATAATTTTACATGACTCCAAGCAACTTTAAATATTTCTATAGACACTAACAAGACAACAAACCTAAAAAGATGCACGTTTAAAAAGCAAGGAATCTGCCTTTTTAAAGGTGCGACTATTATAAACGGCAAAATACTTTCATGTGGGCTGAGTCATCACACCTTATCATGGAGTTCAAAGATTTTCTCCTTGACTAGGTGTGTTTGAGTCGTCTGAAGCATAGCGAAACCCTTGTTTTCATCCGGATCAATTGTTAGGATCAAGTTTTTCTTGACGGAGTTGAACTTGGTGACATTGTTCTAGCTAGAACACAACTCCGGTAAAGTTTTTTGCTACTTGTAGGTCTGTTGGCAAGAGCGACAATCAAAAAGAGATCTCAATCTTGATAACTAGACAAGAAACAATTTTCTTCTTTAAATTTTCGAGTATGCTACCTCTGGCGGCCTTTCACTCATACGAGTTGAGTATTTTCTTGGTCCTTTATGTGTTATTGTTCTTAAGAGTTTATGATTCTCGAACGGGCAAATACTAGGACGTAAGAAGGGTATTCTTGGACATCTTCACATGGAAATCTGAAATGTTTTTTTCTTGCTTTTTCTTACTTATTTTTCCTTTTATTTTAGGGTTTGTTTGACAGTACTTCTGTTTTTGCTTCTATTTCTTATAGAAGAGATTTGTCAGAAAGTTATTTTAATTAATTTTTGGAAGCTAATTTCTAAAATAGTTCTCTCTTTCGAGAAAGATTTTAGAGGAAATCACATTGTGCCAATTATTTCTAAAAATTCTTCCAAAAAAAAAAAAAACCACTTTTATAATATAATCAAATGGGTTTAAAAGTAATTCTTGGGTCCTAGAAGTTCATTTGACTTCTCAAAAGTCATGCTAAGCAGACCATTGATCTTGATCGTTTGGCTAAGTTTAGATGGCTTACTTGTAAGTAAGTTTACTTGTGAGTACATAAATAAATCCAAATGTTGCTACCTTTTATGTTAGTGGAAATTATTATTATTATTATTATTTTAAAAGGGTAAAATGATGAGGAGTTATTTTTAAAATAAGTAATTTTTTAATTCGAAAGTACCATAAAAAGGAGGAATACAAAAATGCTGGTTTGGGTTTAATATGGAATAGAATTAATGCATCCCAGTTAGTAGATAATATTTAATGGATAAAACTATGAATTTGTCTAGTGGTACATAATGAGGTGTACCAAATGATGTACACCCCACTCACATGAGTGTAGGACTCAAGTGAAAGAAATAATATTTTATTTGAGTGTGTCCCTCGCTCATGTGAGTGAGGTGTTTACCATTAGGTACACCCCGATGTACCACTAGCAAAATCGTAAAATTATTTGTATCGAAGTGTCGAGTGTGTAAACCATTATGTAAATGGTTGTGTGAATGTAGCATGGTCCATAATTAATAGTAGTGATGGATGTATAAAATCCAAAAAAGCAAAGATAAAAAGTTCAGCCAAACATACTTAAAAACTCTCACTGATTTATATAATCTCTTTCAAAAATTGCTTGTACTCTGAATTGACTGACTAGCAGTACAGATGCACTCACGTATGTCTAGAAATAAACCTGAATGCAAGATAAAATTCGAAATTTGAATTGGGGCATTTTTTCATGAGAATGACGTGATAATTTAATGAAAATACTCCTTTCATTCTATTTATATAGGCCCCGTTTGGTAGTCATTTTTTTCAAAATATATTTTTCTCTCACTTCTTTTCAACCACACATTATTTATTAAAATAATATTACTCGTAAATCAAAAAAATTTCCTTATTTTTCAACCACACATTTCACATCAATTTACTATTCTAAAATGTATTTTTACATAAAAATGACTATCAAACGTCCTCATAGGCTGATACACGGATTAAGAAATCTTATTTAATTTTAGGGTGATTATATTGCTACCATAATTTTTATTTGATACATCACATTTTAATTGCAATTAAGTTCTTCAATCCTTGCTCATTGTAGCAATGATTTTCTTAATTTCTTTCGTCGAATTCTTATCTTCAAATTAACACGTCTCGTCTTTAATAATGATTTATATCAAAATATTTTATTTTTTATGCTTTGAAATGAGGAAAAAATATTTTGTTGACTTTTATTTATTTATTTTTAAAGTATGATGAAAAAATAAGTTATTTTATGTCATTTCAACGAACTTTTAAACATAAAACTATTATCACATACAAAATGTGTTAATCAATGAAATGTTTGACAATAAGAATATTATTAAAAATAGTTACAAAGTTAAGTATTGTAATGAGCAAAAATTAAAAACTTTAAGTGTAATTAAAATGTGGTGCAAAAAATAAAAATTGTAGTGTAAATATAATTATTCTTAATGTTATTGAAAAATTAATTTTTGTCATAAACTTCCTAGTTTGCCCTTATTTATATTTGTAAAATTTCAAGATTAAGTGGAGGGAGTAATTGGATGGTTTCTTCATTGGGTGTTATGCAGTTATAATGAAAGATGGATAATCAATTTGCTCCTTTCTAAATGTCAGTGACTAAGTTCCTAACAAGGCAATAGATTAAAGGCCAAAGGTGCAATTTTTTCAAACAGAAAAAGCTTCCTGTAGACAATTTTAAAAGAAGACCGTATTTCATTTTTTCTCGCTACTTTAGTCCTTAATAAATTTTCTCGTACAAGTATACCCACGATTTCCCAGGATTTAACAAAGGGAGTTAAGGGAAAAGACTGAAAATAATTTTTTTTTTTGGGTAACCCAGGTGTCCCAGTTTCGCCAGACTATATCCTGGACCTCGAGTCCCCGGTCCCTCAGTGACTCGTGGAGGTTAAAAAGACTGAAAATAATTAATACCACGTAGGGATGTTTGCCTTTCACGGCTGATTCTCTGCTCGGCTCGGCTCCCCGTTTTTATAACTTTTTGTGCTTTTCCAAAGGATTTTACGGGAAAAGAATTTAGAAATTAATAAATAATTAAAAAAAAAACTTCATGGCCCAAGTTGAGCTTGCCGTGAAACTTTAGGAGCCAGTATCGAAACTGGCCCGAAGTCTGCTGTTTGTACTGGGCAGGCCCGGTCCAGCCGTAGCGAGACCAGTAATTCCACGCCCGCCCACGTACTTTGAAAATAGCTTACTCCTTAATAATTTTATTGTTTTGAACATTCATTATGGAGAATGCAGTCAAAAATCAGCTACTAGTTGCCATCGTTTATAATACTAATAAGTTTGTATAAATTATGAGAGTTAGAGCACGACAATATTGAAAGATATTCCGATCCATCACGTGTTTGACTAAAGTCCCCAAAGAATGGCCATTCTTATTCCCTTCGCTGTTTCTCTGGCATTTCATTCTTCTTCAACTCTCACTTTGTTTCCAGCTTATTGATATTTTTGACATGGGCATTTGCTTTGGGAGTCCTGCAAGAAGTTTTCATCCTACTCCTGGTCATAATCTTAAACCAAGATTTTCTTGTTTTGCATGTCTAGCTTACTTCTTTGTTGCTCTCGAGATTGGGATTAGGGCTTAATCTCGAATACTTTTGCAGGTAATAAAGTAGCACCCGGTAGTTCAAACCCAGGTTTGAATCATCCAAACCAGCAAACATGTTCAGGCAAGTGTGAATGTGATGCTCTAATAGGATTCAAAGGTGATATGCCTGTCTACAACAACCTCAAATCCTTTACCGTCACTGACCTCAAAAATGCCACTAAGAACTTCTGCACCGATAGTCTAATTGGAGAGGGAGGATTTGGACATGTCTTTAAAGGTTGGATCAACGAGGACACGTTGTCTCCTTGCAAACCAGGAACCGGCACAGTTGTTGCTATCAAAAAACTTAAGATGGATAGCTTTCAAGGTCACCGGGAATGGCTTGTATGTTCATCAAGTCCCTGCAAAACTTCTTTGATATTTCTGCCCCTTTCTTGCACTTATTTCGAGTTTTAAATTTGTTCTACGTTTTCAAATTTGGCAGACGGAGGTCAACTTTTTAGGCCAGCTTCATCATGAAAATCTTGTGAAACTAATTGGGTATTGCACAGAGTCTATGAACAGGCTTTTAGTTTATGAGTTCATGGCAAAGGGATGCTTGGACAATCATCTGTTTAAAAGTGAGTAAATTTTTATCTGAAGGTTGTTTCATTTACATTTTTCGAATTTCAATCCTTAAATCCTTCTTGGTTCATAAACTGAAATGTTTTATGGTTCTAGTATACTCAATAATTAGACTTTTCACTTCCAATGGATTTGTTCCTGAAATTCCCCTGAATGAACTGGAAACCTTTCATCTACTCGGCCATTTCATGATCATAAGTTGAGAGCTCGACCACATGAAAACCAATATTACTCTTTTGTAGGAGGAGTGCAACCTATGACATGGGCTACAAGGATGCACGTTGCAGCTGATATTGCACGGGGGCTATCCTTCTTACACAGTCTCGATGCCAATGTGATATACCGTGACTTAAAGGCTTCCAATGTACTAATTGATTCGGTATGCTAGCACGTACAAACCTCAGATTGAGTCAACCATAATCCAAACTGATTTTTGTATCCATTTTAATGTGACACGTGTTTGAATTCTGCAGAAATTTAACGCAAAACTTGCAGATTTCGGCCTCGCCAGGAGCGGCCCCAGTGGTGATGGAACTCATGTTTCAACTAGAGTTGTTGGGACTATGGGCTACGCTGCACCAGAATATGTGGCAACAGGTTTCTTTCTTTTTCCATCTGAAAGCGAAATTTTATTTTATTTTTCTCTCTTGTTAACGAAGTTGACTAAACAGGTCACTTGACTCCAAAGAGTGATGTGTACAGTTTTGGAGTTGTTCTCTTAGAACTATTATCAGGAAAACGAGCAATGGGAGATGAGACTATTGGAGGTCCTGAAGACATGTTAGTCGATTGGGCTATTCCCTACTTAAGAGACAATAGGCAGTTTTCGAGGATCATGGACACCAGGTTACGGGGTGAGTACTCGAGAAAGGGTGCACAGGCTGCAGCTTCCCTTGCATTAAGATGTCTCCAAACTGATGCCAAAAACAGGCCAGCTATGATCGAGGTATGTTATACGTCCTCATCTTAAACTTTAAAATGGCCTTCCGCCACCTAGATGGAGCTCCCCCACTAAGATTTTCCCAATAGTTCTCTCTTTTAGGTGCCTCCCTTATTTGAAAAATGTGTCCCTTGTTTGAAAAATTTGAGAATGTGGCTAACCCTAAATCTTGAGAAATGGACCTATAAAGGACATATTTACTCAATTAGATTTCAAATTGCACAATTCCCCATTGACCTTTATATTAAAGACAAAAGATGGACCTAACTGGACTCACAAAACCCGAGCTCCAAATATATGTTTTTAATTTGGTCAGCTCTTGACAAATTAAGATACATTTATTAATCGGCTTATTCTATCAAAGAGTCAAAATTGTACTTTGGAGTCGAACGACAATTATGGAAGCAAATCATGAACCGATGGCAATATCCTCGAATCACCATTCCACAGATCAACCCCTTTTGACCGTCAGTATATTGGAATTGGCAAAGAAACAATTTTGCTCTTCCAGCATGTATAGCCCTCTAAGTCCGTAGTAAACAAATCACAACATAGAATCCAACAATCCTATCGTACGACTACTGAGCTAATGTTCAAATGTGTGTAGAGAATGTCTTGTAGTGATCACAAATTAGTTATCTACACGATCTTGTTCAATGTGCACCAAACACATCATTGTCCCTTTATGTACTAATCGCAAAAGATATACTTTAATCACGTCAAAAATTATGTCTTATTATACTTGAACCGTCAAGTATACAATTTGTGACATTTGTATGATCGTGGAGTTTTAGATTATTATTTCAAATTAAAACGCGTGAATAATCTAATCATAATCATAATGTTGTTTACAAAATACTACTCGAAGGGCATCAAACTAACAATGAAACAATCCTAGGAACTTTTGTTTGATATTTACCATGTTGCATTGAAAGCTTTAACTGTTGAAATTGTATTTTTGCAAAGGTACATGCGGCACTGGAACAACTCCAAGCAACGAAAGATGTTTCAAGGAATTCACCGCGAGCTAACACGATAGAATATCACGTGAATTGTACGTCAAGCCCTCATGGAACAAGATGAGGTGGAAGACTATCAAGGTAGCTTGTGTTTAAATCCCGCAGAAAATCACACATAATAAATATAGTATAGAGAGGAAAATAATTTGGGTTTCCTCATATTTCTATACACTACACAATTTTTGACATATCTCGTTGGGGAGTCGATTTCCCTATGTAAGACCTTATGTAAGACAATTACCCGCATTAGGTAGGTAAGGATTGTCAACTCAATGCTGTTTGTAAATATTCATGGATTCTTTCAAGTCGTACCTTTTCTTCTGATGCACTTGACTATAATCCCGACTTTGTTCTTGGTAAAATGAGGTTTTTTTATTTTTATTTTAATGAACGCATAAACCTGGCCTCTAGAAATACATCCCAAGGCTATTACAACTTTATGTTCAGAAGAACAAGTCATTTCAGTATTACCAAATTACACACGAGTCCCGTTTTACAGTTGAGAATGCATTTGCCAAGGATTAGAAACTTTTCAAGATCTATCTATGTTGTCCTTGACAGTTTACACCAAGCAACCATTGGAAACAACTTTAAACCTCAATTCCCTCATAGAAGAAAAAATTCCCATGAAAGGAAGCCAAAATATCGAAGAAATAGAGCTCCTACACCGCTACAAGGCAGTCGACACCAGAAACTGAAGCTCATTCTCTTCATTCGACAGCAACAGTTCTACTTCATTTCTTGCATGTCCTCTTCGGTTTTCCAAATTACATCCTCAAGGGAAGTTGAAAGGTTCTTGTAGAACTGCAAACAAAAAGCGATGGGAGAAAATTAAGAGATTATGACATTAAGTACGGTCCTTATATTGTAGGACTAGAGCAACACATTCTAGTCGGTAAAAGAAACCCGAAAAAAAAAAACCAGATAATAGAAGAGTGGATGATGTAGCAGTAGTTTAGAAATTTTGACAATCTGGAAGAGTTTTCCATTGGTTCCGAAAGATTGGATTTTCTTTTTCTAAATATGGGAGTATCTCCATAATATAATTCAGCTACGAATACAATTTCTAGAATTCATTTATCAATCAGTTTACCTGTCCCAGTTTAGGTCGCTACTCTAATAGGAAGCTAATCGGAATTCAATGAGAATGTGCAAGAAATGATCAAATAAACAGAGTTTTGGTCCAAAAAGTTTGAGCAATTATGAAGGCCAAACTGTCAACAATCCTATGAAGTTCTTCTGTACAGATTGTCGGTAATGATTTCCCCAGTCCATGCTTTTTGATGTCAAAACTAAAATAAAATTATCAAACATAATTTTTGTATGTCTGGGTACCTTGTGGAACTCTAAAGTATCTCCCTTTGCCTTTCTCACCTCAACCATATGCAGAGACGGGGCAACTTGGAAAACCTAATTCAAGGGCATAAAAAGTTTTGAGCAGATTGTGTAAAATTAACAAAGACTTAGATTACTTGTTTCGAACGTAAAATTGAACTCGAGTAAGCCAACTGATTGGAGTCCTTAGTAACGTACCTCTGTGGCAACATTAAGGTTTCCCTTTCTTCCGGCTTTTATATTTTCTAGCCTCATCTGTGATAAATTACGGGAATAACTTAGTTTTAGTATAATGATACTCTCACTTATTATTCAAGGCAGATAAGATGAAACGAACTTAAAAGCATCCATTCCTATTTACACAAGCATAAGAGATCAAGGACCTTGTAATTCTTCTTGTGAACATCAAAACCGAGAGGTTTTGCAGCTTCTTCAATTTTATTGATTATCTCATTGGCAGGGGACCTAGACGTGAACCTTGTTTCCCTCTTAAACTCCTGCAATTAATAGAGTCCAGAACAAAAGATTAACGAGGAAAAAAACCTGTATTCATATGCATGTAAAACTGGCACGAGTCATATAATGAATTCTAGTTTTCTAATTATTGTGTATACCTGAAACTTCAAGCATGTCTAGTTAAGCTTAAAAAATTTTCTTACAAATAACTAACTAAATATTAAAATAAATAATTCATATATTGGGATAAGCTAGAAATAAGCAAGTTACTTATTTCAATAATAATGTAAGAATTACATCTAAAATAACTTTTTCCCCTTAAAAGCAAGAATAGAGTAACTTGTCCAAATGTCTCAAAATAGAAATATACTTGATCATTTATTGATCTTTAACATTAGACATAAATGATTGCTTATGTTAGCATGGCATCCTACGTAATTAGAAACAACACCGTAAAAAGTGATTACTGGAGCTAGTCTTCAGTAGTTTTTGGACACACCTCCAAATATTGTATCATTTATCAGAAAATGTTTTGAACTTATGCTTGTGGAAACTAGAGATAGCAGGCAATGAGGAAAGCCAGGAACGTCTATGAAGAAAAGATATAAATCCCAACCTGTTCTCCCTCGAACAGATTCCCCAGGTTGAGACCTTTCGACATAGAAATCAACTCAAATGCATTCATGGTTGCAGGCTGCTCTTCCTTTTTCTCCGTCACAAGATATTCCTGTTGTAACCAATTGATGTGCAATCCGTGAGTATTTTTCAACAAAAAAATTGTATTGTTCTGTAAGCTCCACAAATTCACCTCAGAATCTTTTATTTTTTAAAGTTGAACCGCCATCTAACCTAGTCGGGATTTTTTTAGGTCTCCACATGGACCTAGTAGGAGGTTTTTAATTCCCTGACCCTGTCTATTGATAAAGAATTGATGTAAAAATGGGAAGGGGGGCGAGGGAGCATCGACCACTCACCTCAGAACCCTTAAATACAGCTTCCACATCATCCAAATTTGCATCTTCTTTCTCATCAAATACAGGTGGCTTATAATCTTTCTTAAACCACTCGTCCTCCAAAATTTCAGGGATTGTAATGCGCTGGACAAACATATCAATCATGAAAGTGGAAAAAAAGCATAAATTGAAGCACAAAGAACACGAAGCTAAGCTTCTCTTTTCTTCTTCCTACCACGTTTTTAAGGAAAAAACTTTTCTTTCCATTTCCAATGCAGTTATCATATAGAATGGAATTGAACATTGTTAATGGATTTAATTAGATAAGTTAGGTGACATTGCAGATATTTAATTCTTTAGATTCTCTGTCTACAAGATAACTTGCATTGGCACAAAAAAAGGCGTATGCTTACGGTCGTAGGATTTGGATTCAGGATTTGAGTTATCAGCTTCCTTGCATTGAAGGATATCCAAGGAGGGTAAGTGAATTCAGCAGAAGAGATCTGTACAAGCCACAAGGAAACAATGAAGCTACCAAAGAAATAATAGAGGAAACTTGAAAATCAATACAATTTAATAGTCAAAATGCTCACTTTGTTGTATAGGTTCATAAGATTTGAATCATCAAAAGGCAAGTAACCTGCAAGCAATACAAAGAGTATGACTCCACACGACCACAAGTCCGCAGTTGCCCCATCGTAGCCATGGTCATTTAGAACCTACACATAATGCCATCTCTGTTTGAAGACTAAATTTATGTAAATAAATGTATCCCCTCTTAAAAGCTTAACCTTTTAGACAAGGTGTGGTTCAACAATCTCATTATTCAAGACAAGCGAAAAGAGGCGGCAATGCATGTGCACAGAAATGAAGTGCATAGTTTAGTAATCATACCTCGGGAGCAACATAGTTTGGAGTTCCACAGGTAGTATGAAGCAAACCATCATCCTGTTAAATCAATTTTGTGAGAATTCTATTTTTCTCTGACTATGACACAAAGTAAAGATGAAGTATAACAAATATCTTGTGCGTGGAACTAAAAGTGCATCCAAAGCATGCATTTGATCGAACAATTTATAGTAAATGCGATATCTATGTTTTCAATTCCCTTGAGTTTCGATTCCCTCGCGGTCCAAGCAAATTTACTACTGTCTATTTACCAATGTCTGATTGGTTATTTAACCATATCCTTTTTATTTTAGTCTGCACATCCACTTCCCTTTCGATCAGGCCAAGATATAACCCAAAAAGGACAAGACGTTAGCTTGAAGAAATAGAAAGAATCCATCCATCTTCATTCAGCAACAAATTATGCAATAAATGGGACACAATTTTGTCTCTTATCTTCCAGGGAAGACAGATACCCTGCTAATAAATATTTTGCAGTTTCCGTCAGTTGTTTTATCATTCATTTGTACTTTTTCCCTGCTTTATTTGTTTTCCTAGTTGCCATCTAGCGGCATCGAGCCCGTAAACAGTTATCTGGATATATCTACTAATTTCCAAACATAAATATCTCCCAAAAGAATCTACTAACAGTAAGTAAAGCTTATCCATAAATTCCAATTGTTGTCTTTTTCGAGAAGTCATTGACAACTTACAGAGTTTTTTTGACAAGATTACGTTATCTACTTCATATATGAAGAATATTTTTACTTATTCAAACCCTTCACAGGACAATACTATTTACAACATTTTAACTTCTTTTTCTACTATAGTTTTGTAGAGTGCACCTTACCAAACATGCTATGATCTAATATTTACCTTCACTTGCTGAGACAGAGCACTCAAACCAAAATCCGAAATTTTAAGGTTCCCAGAGGCATCCAACAATAGGTTTTCAGGCTACACGAGGAAATAGATATGAATAATAAGTGAGCTTAGCATTTTGCCTGTGAAACCGAAAATAAACTATCCATTATATTTTGATTATATGTTACTATAAAACAATGTCAATTACCTTTAGATCTCTGTGGTAGACTCCCCTGCTATGGCAATAATCCACGGCGTTAATAAGTTGCTGAAAATATTTTCTTGCTTCGTCCTCTCGCATCCGTCCGTGATTTACCTAAATCGAGAAAATTTGTGGCGTTCATTATATCCAGTTGAACACATTTAAGAAACAATTACAGCCAAATATGGTTGCCAGCCTGAGAGAGATGGATAAAAACTAAAGTTGAAAACATCAGCTAGCCACTTGGTCCGAGTCGAGATTTGTTGTCCAATTTTGCTATCCATTTTACTAATTCTTGACATGTCATTAATAATCTCGATAACTTCACTGCCAACCAACTAAATTGATGATGTGTTAAGAATAAATTGGATGGACAGCAAAATGAATGGCAGAAATTGATAGCAGATCTCATCTCACTTGATCCACGGATCCAACAAATAACACTATAAAGAAAAATGGAGAATACAGAGCACGTCTGGTTAAGCTTAAAAATAAGTCCTTTTTGTCTTCAGACAGGTTTGGATAAGTCACTTTTTTCTTACATCTAAGTAAAAAAAGTTAATTATTTTGAAAGTAACTCTTATCTTAATATCACAATAAGTAACTTATTTCTAATTTTGATATTCATTTTAAACCTTACTAATTAAACTTATTGAGCTAATCCAAACAAGTTGGGATACTGGAAGTCAATATTTTATGTTGGATATTTCATAAAATTATGAAAACTCTAATACTAGGGCGATAAAATTTCTCTGACTTACAATTTTGTCAAAGAGCTCTCCCCCAGTGACAAATTCCAAAACAATAAATATCTTTGTCTTGCTCGCCATCACCTGAATAAAGACAACATTGTTAGACTACTGGCACCCGAACCAACAAATGCGCAGAGAGAGAGATCAACCTCATACAAGCGGACAACATTGGGATGTTTTATCAACTTCATCGTTGCTACTTCCCGCTTTATCTGCAAAATATGTGCAAAGACATCAGAGACTTTTTATGACCAGAATAGAAGATACTAGTGAAGTGTTAAATGCACAAAATGCAATGAAGAAAATGAATACTTATGACGATTTGATTCAATTCATTTAATCTCTGGGGCATCTCCTATTAATCAAGTAAGCAAAAACTTACCTGTTCAGCTATTTTGTGCTTGAGGATCTTTGCCTTATCAAGGATCTTGAGAGCCACAGGTTGCTGAGTCTCAGAATTTCTAGCAAATTTAACTTTCGCAAATGTGCCCTCACCAATTGTCCTTCCAACCTCGTACTTCCCTATTTTTCGCTTAAGTTTGGGTTGATTCATTCTTGCTTATCCGGTGTGTTCGCCTAACCCGTCCCAGTCCGTCCCAGTCGAGAAACTTACCTGCACATGCGCACACAGATTTCTTGGATAAGCTTCTTTCGGTAAATTGCGAAAGTAGGAAGGATCGTAAGCTTATCGAACCGGACTCATTTCATTATATTAATCATAAATTAGGTTGTACTAAATTTTCAAACTTCAAATACTTGAGAGTTGGCAGAGATTAGTTTACGTATTAAAAAAAAAAAATGGCCTGCATTTTAAACCAAGTGAAACTTGGAGGTTTTTCATTGTATATTCCATCTCCAATTCATAAGTGAAATATAAAAACAGATCAATGAAATTGAATCATACGAAGGAGAAAGGTATTTCAAAATAAAATAAAAAATCAAGATTTGTAATTACCAATAAACTAAACTGAGACATGAACAATAGAAAAGTGTGTGTGTGTGAGAGAGAAAGAGCGAGCGAGCGAGCTCCACAATGTTATAAATCTAGCAGATTAGACTATAATGAACAATTGAAGAAGGACATTAGCGAGTAAAATAACTACTATTAAAATATAAATACTCTATCATGGCCACAAAATTGGTTGAGAGAGAGAGAGAGAGCTACCTTCAACTGCAGACTGCAAATCCAGCAATAATTCACGAGAATAACCAAGCAGCCAAACATACACAAGGAAAAAGGAAAAAAAAAAAAAAAAAGGAAATAAACCCCAATTCAACCTAATTAATTTGCCTCAAATCCAAATGAGAACGGAAAAAAAAAAAAAAAACATAAGGTTTTCAACCTCTCACAGTAATCCACGCCAAACATAAATTAAACTAAAAAATCCCAGTTCAAATTCTTACAGAACTCACAAAAGGGTTTCCAAATTCAAGAACAAAAGAAAATTTTCTAACGTGAGATAATAAAAACTCAATTTTTTGATATGCTAAAAAGGAACTCTGATCTACCCAAAAGATCAAGGGGAAAAAAATAGTAAGAGAGAGGTAGAGAAGCTGTACTTTGAACTCAGGCTTTTAACCCCTTTAATATACGGTTTCACATGAATTGGTTGGCTTTTGTCCACCATTTCACCACATTATTTTTTCTACATTACCCATTTTTAATAACACAATTTTTATTAAAATAATATTACAACAAATCAAAAATCATTTATTTTTTTAACCACACATTTTAACATCAATCATTATTCTATAATATATTATTCACAAATAATGGGACACAAACACCCCCTTAGCTCTGTCATATATTATTACTTAATAATTGAATTTAAAAATATATCTTAATAAACATTAAAAGCTCATTTGGAAGTGATTTTTTCTCTAAAAAATTGATTTTTTGACCTTTATTTTACTATTTCAACCGTCATATTTGACTTCTTCTCTCACAAGTAGACCCCATTTTTTTCCTAACGATCAAAAAATCAATTCTCAAAATCACTCCCAAACAAGCTCTAAATTTCATCAAGTATTATTACTTTATAACTGCACTTAAAAATGTATCTCAATGATCACTCAACTATATATCGCGTTACCATCCATCGCTCAAATGAAAAAATCCATTAAGTTCAACAAATGGCGTTGACTTAAGTGATGGATGAGTAATATGGTTCATAGTTAGTGACCATTAAAATGCATTTTTGAGTTTAGTTATAAAGAAATAACACTTTCGTGAAGTTTAGACACCATTGTGACATATTTTTAAATTCAGTTATTAAGTAGTAACAATTTCTTTTTCTCTCAAATATACCTCTGTGAAAGAAGAAACTAATGAAAAATAAGGGGAAAAAAGTTCTATTTGTATTCAATATATAGTCTCAATTACAATAAAAGTATGTTAAATTTTTAGATCAATTGGTGTCAGTTCACCATATCTGAAACTTCATATAAGAAGATTAAAAAAGAAATAGTTGGAACACTGAAAGAAAAATGATAGAGTAAAATTTAAAATGTTGCAGATTTTTTATTATTAGTGCCAATGTAACTGATGTCGATTTGATTTTTTAACTTTTTGCTCCTAGTTTTTTTAGTTTCTTCTTTCACATAAGTCGATTCGTGGAAAAAAAGGTAATTATTACTACTTAATAATCGAACTTAAAAAATGTATCTCAATGGTCACTGAATTTTGCTAAGTGTTATTATTTTATAACGGAACTCAAAAATGTATCTCAATGGTTACTGAAACTATTCACCGTGTTATCAATCCATATCTCAAGTCGACGCCGTTTGTTGAACTTAAAGGATTTTTCCATTTGAATTATGGATGGATAATATGGTGCATAGTTCAGTGATCATTAAGAAATATTTTTGAGTTTAGTTATAAAGTAGTAACATTTAGTAAAGTTTAGTTACCATTGATATATATTTTTAAGTTAGTTATTAAGTAATAATATATGGCAAAGTTTAGTAACAATTCATGTAATTAACCCTTCATTATGCTAATAAAGCTAAGAATGATGAACAAAAAAGATGCATCACGACTTTTAAGAGTACGAATGGCCATAGCCTTAGAGCATGTTTCAGTCTCATTTTTAGTTAAAAATATATTTTAAAGTTGTAAATTGATAGAGAATGTGTGATTAAAATATAAGAAAAATTTTAGACTTGCGCATAATATTATTTTATTAAATAATGTGTAATTGAAGAGAAGAGAAGAGAGAGAAAAATATATTTTGAAAATAATAGAAATCAAACAAATACTTAATTTCAAGATTCAAAATTTATGATGGCCGTCAAAAATTGGTCAAGCTACTGATAAAGTGCTTGTTTGGTAGGGATTTTGATAATTGATTTTTTGATCGTTGGAGATAAAGTGGATCCTACTTGTGAGATAAGATTTCGAAAATAATGGCTGAAGTAGTTAAATAACGATCAAAAAATTGATTTTAATTGACGTTTAAGTTGTACAAGCTGAAAATGACTCAAGAAATGGCATATCAGCATACTGTAAATAGAATTCAAGATTCGCCAGTCACGTTTGTCTGGTAATAAAGGAAAACTTGCAACGTCAGTCCACAATCTATTGCAACAATCACAAGTTAGTCTGTAACCTTAAAAAATAAAATAATTGGCAATTTGATTCCAACCATCCACTGTAATCTCTATTGAACTTTTATGTATAACACAAGTGAAAGTAAAACAAGAGCAATTTGATTTGAGCCCTTGTTTGGCCTCAATTACAATCAACTAATCAAAATTGAACACTTTTTCAAGAGAGATTTTAGAATAAAATTTTCTTGCAAAGAATATATTTATAGCAGATTATGACAATCCTTTGTATACGCAGTAGTCAATTTGCAAATGCACCATGACTTGCCTTCTTCGAACACAAAACTCTCACTGATTGGAAAACTTTCTTTCCTTGACAATTCAACAATAGAACTAAATAGTGCAAATAGTAAACGAAGAAAAACACAAATTAGTTGATGGATGACTCCTTCCGTCGGAGTCAATAATTGTCATTCAACAAAACATAATTAATTATGCAAAGGCCACATTGAGAATCGATTCTTGAGCCAAATGCTACGTATAAAAAGATCTGCATTGCGCGATAGATTTTTGATAAGACCACATTTCTAAAACTAAAATAAGGCCAAAAAAAAAACTATACTCGAGATATAGTTGTCGTTGTTGAAAAACACATCTCAATTTAAATTTTTCTATAAGATTAAAGTTAAGAAACAAATTCTACTCGTAAAACTAGACACTCGAGAAATGCACAACATTGTAACAGATTTTGAACAATTATCCATTGAGGACGGACTGTGTGATCATAATTAATGGTTGGGGATCGACTTGATTATTTTGTAAAAGGGACTAACTCATAATTGGTACTATAAGTACAGAAGGAGCAGTGCAATTTTCCCAAACAAACGCGGGAAATATTTTACTTCTTTTCTGGAAGCTTTCAAGAAAAAGATGTTGATAGTCCATTATTTTCTCATTAAAATAAAAAATATGACTATTATCCATCACATAAAGCTGTCAAATTTGAATTTCTATCTCTTTTGGAGCTTGTAATGATTATATTTTTCATTCTCATTTTTCAAAAAATGATAAATGGAATGTTGTGTTTGGTGGATAATTTATATCACAAGAATTTTATAATGCGGGTAATGCATTTCCTACGGTGGTGGGGCCATCATAATACATTACAAAACAAGAATTGCATGTTCATAAGTCAGTAAATGCACGGGGGGTATACGCATGTGGTTACAACACTGCTCTTTCTCTCTTTTTATGGTTGTACTACGTGTACATCATAATTTACAAATTTATTCTACTGAATAAATGATGTGGTAGTGGTGGCAAACAAAGCCATCGTTTCGACTTGAAAAAAGCCAGCTCGTTTGCATGAGCCAAGATATTTAAGATTAGTACTAGGACTCAGTTGTCTTAGGTTCGAATTCTAGGAGTCGCGATAAAAATTTTTAGGGATAAAATAGGTTTAGACTCTTTTAAAGTGGACAATATGTAAGAGAAAGGTCAGGCACGAGGATCGGATTGTTACAACATAGATTATCCCATTTAATCTCGCTTCTCAAATTCAATTCTAAATTTTGTATTATGTTGAATTCACGAATTTAATTAATTTAGTTCACTTGAATTTAAATCAATTATGTCTAGTAAAGTCAACTTATTACTTCTGTATGTGAATTTGAATAAGACCTAACTAAACGTATTAAATTATTTAGGAATTCAATTAAGGATCACAACAATAGTAGAAACATATCTCTAACTTCTATCAAATTATCGAATTTTACTATGTAATTTAAATAAATATCTCATCTCTCAACTTGTTACCGTTCACAAACCATGAATTAACGATAAAGTAATTCAAGCATTGAGAAAATAAGTAAAATCAATACATACATCAACTAACAATAAATTTTGAGTATTGAAATCAAAAGTTCAAAATCATGTTACATCTTCCAAGTTTATGTGGAAAATGACGGGACGGTTTGAATTGATCTACATATGTGAGGAACCAGAACGACACATTCCTATAAAGGAATCGACCCATTATATTTTGCGAGTCGTGCCGAAATTGACCTATAAAAATAAATACAAGCCCAAGTATCGGACCATGACCTTAAACACATTTGTTTTTAAGAGGAGTTGTGGTGAAAGAACAATACTCGTGAAATTTTTTGTCTAGGAAAGTATGATTTGGCACTCTCTCTGCTTTTGTTCGTGAGGTCATTTGCATGTAATTACTTCACATTGGCTAGTTCGTAAATAATAACTTGAGAATTTCCGTTGCTTGTAACTAATTTCTCCCTCTCTAGTTTGGATATCAAATAAGGGTATATAGTACAAAATGTTTCGACCTTTTAATGTCATCGTGCAAAATGTCCATACCTTTCATTTTTTTGGTATTTTTACCCCTATTTTCATCTTTTCATTGCACGAAAATTCCTTTTTATCCATTTGTCTAATAAAAAGACAGTTTTATCCTCCTATTCAAATAAAACAATAAGAAATGAAATGAAAGAATAAAGAACTAGTTGCAACAATAGCCCAAATTTTCAAAAAATTGCAAATTAATCACAAATATATAAAAAAAAATCAAAACTAAAACAAAAAATAAAAATAAAATTCATTCATCTTCTTCCTCCTTTTTCTTATCCCAAGCCCCTACGCGTCTTCGGCAAACCCAGCTACCATGACATTGGATCCCGGATGAAGATCCAATTCTACTGTCACTACTGTCACCCAGAAGATCCTCTCTGACTAGGCCTATGGGCGCGTCTATAGATGTAGTAGTTCAAAGGGTTGTTAAGCAAGAAAGCAAGTCGAATGGAGCCGGACCGACCCGACTATATTGGTCATCACCTACACTTCTGAGTACAACCATCCATGGCCGACACAGAGAAATGCTTTAGCTGGCTCCGCAATATCCCAACCATGTAAGAACAATACCCAGCTTCAAAAACTTCACCCAATTCTCAGTCCCAGAGGGCACAAAGGTACCCAAAACAATATAGAAAATGTAATTCCATTGCCCATGGATGTG